CAAGACAGTAAATCTTTATGGGGATAGAAAGCCTTGTCTTTCTCACAAGAAACAACTGGTAGTTTTGAACTGCTGACCATGAAGTTAGCAGTCTAATGCATAATTGTGTGAGATTATACAATATTTGTACTTTTGTAATTGACTTAGGTTGCTGGGTATATTATCTTCCAGAAGTTCAGCCATGGTGCTGAATACAAATAGTCTCAGCTTGTCACAATGACTCTTGCTGGGTCATGTTTCATCCTGAGCCTCATATATCAGAAAATGATCACCTGCTAATCCCTAGAAGTTGCACATGCTACTTTTGGTTAATTTTTGGCTGTTACTCTTGGGTGATGATGATGATAATGGTGGGATGAGTTGGGTGCAGACTGGTTAATTGACTTTCATAAATCAGTGAGAGTACATATTGTGTATTAATATATACACTGCACCATGCTGGATAGCTTCCAACGCTTACCAAATTAACCAAAACTCCTTCCCTTGGCATTTCAAGCCCCCGACTACGGGGTTCCTTCCCTACTTCTGATGTTCGTTCTTCCAGCTGCCTAACACAGGCCTTTGTTCTGACCAAGATAAAATCGATTCTGCAGGAATTACAAACTCTTCCTGTGTTCCCTAGCTTTTTGTCTTTTTTTGGGGTGGGGTGGGGGTGTTCTTTGCTATAAGTTCAATAGCATTTGAGGTATTTTATTAGTGAGGTTTTGAAAAAACAAAGTAATTTGCTTTGACAGAAGATTACAAGTCTAGACTGCCAAGCTGAAATGACTGCTCTCGTCCTGGTAACTTAGACCGACAGCTCTTGTAGAAGACTGGGTCCCAGATGGGGCTGGCCCATGTAAGGATCCTCCGTGAGCAGTGCGGACGTGTCTGTCTGGCTTCCTTCCCTGGGTTTCACCTTGGTTGCAACAGCCACAGCTCGTGGTTTCTGTGCTCCTCCCATCTGACTCACAGGCTCATCAGTCATCCTGCTACGCACACTGCTATCAAGGTGGTCAGGGGTCAGCAAACTGCGGTGTGGCTCTTTTGGTACCTAGATGTGGCTCAAAAGTACAATTGGAAATGAAAATAAAACTTATTCAGATAATGGTTATTTCATTTGTGAAAATATATTGATGGCTCTCATAAAATGTTTCACTTGCTGTGAGCGGCAGGGTTAGCTCTTCCATCTCAAAAGTTAGCCCACCCCTGCTCTAGGGGGTGCGCAACTGTTTGAAGGGATCATGGCTTGTCTTTTTTGGAAAAGGTAAAACTTCTCAAAAGATGGACAGGCAGCTCCTGAACCAGGACAGGGCTCCTTCCCAATAACAGGTCACAACTTTAATCCCTCCTTTGTTTGGTTGTTGGTTTGCTTTGTTTTAGTTTCCTTATATCATTGCCTTTTATTATCGTTATAAACTGAATCTTCATTTATCTTTGAGCGTTGATGTGTGAATGATAACAGTAAATTATGTGCTGTAACATTGTATGGACTCCATATTACTATTGATAAGAAGTAATTTATGTATTTTTAACACTTTTATTGGCATATAATTCACATGTCATACAACTCAATAGTTGAATCAAGAATGTACTTTTTAAAAAAGGAAATGTTTTGAGAATGATGAGGGCAGAGTGAATGTACAAATGCATTTTACACAAGTGATGTATGTATGGGTAGTTGTATGAGCCCCTAATAAAATGATTTTTAAAAAAGGGATGGTTATAAATGCAGTTCATTATAAATTAGAGTCTACCTGTACAAGTGCTTTAAAAACATAATAGATAGAAAAATAGGGTTGGAAAGTTGCATTGTAGAAATTAATAGATGCATTAAAAATCGTGAAAGCCTCCTTGATTAACAGCACTATTTTGCTGGCTCAGCCAATATTTTCTGGATGTTTCTGGAAGTTCAGGTTGGCAGACCTCAGCTGAACCAAAGTATAAACAAGCCACCCAGGCACTTCTCAGATTCGGCATAGAGATTCTGAGGTCAGGATTTCCTAATACGGACATTTTGTATGAACACTTAGTTTAGAGATGCCTGTTTGCATGGATTTATGTCTCTTCTAAGAACAAGGTTTAAAGACAAGAGACACTCACCATGACTCTGTTGCTTAGGTAAACCTGATTTCCTTTTCATTTCCTTCAGCTAACTAAAGGCATAAAGAAAATGACTTTTGGTTATTGAAATCCTTTAGACACTGAGAACAAGTATTAGATGAGTACGTTTTTCTGTCCAACTCTCACACCCAGCCATAAACAGTTAAATATTTAAACCTAACAAACAAGACTTATAGGAGCTAAGGGGGGTCGGAGTGAATTTAAGGGAATCCCTCATCTCTAGTTGAGTCGATGCATTTTGTTCATCTTTGTTGGTTTTCTTATCTTTGGGTTGGAAATGTTTTCTTCATCGAGTGAACTCAGATGGCGTTAAGCTCTTACTTACAGGACACCTCTAGCAAGACAGAAGTATGTTGTGGAGCAGGGAAGCTTTCTGTGGTCATTCCCAGTATCTTAGCTTGGCTTGTTGCCCGTGCTTGATGTTTATAGTGTGCATGTCTAGACTCACCCAGGTTCCTGGATGAATGTTTCAAAGACAGAAGTTTCAGCACCTGGCTGTGTATGTTTGTGCCATCTGTTAATTTTGGAAAGCTGGCACTAACATCCAAGTTTCCCTTTGTGCTTTGAGTATCACTTCATAAAATACATGGAATGAAGTTATATCTGTTCCATGGTACTGCTCCATGGGCACTGGGCCTGATGAAAATGCCCTGTAGTTTCATAACATGCCTTTTATATCCTCATGTTCTCAATCCCACTGCATTAATTATGGCTGGTGTAAGCCTTTTCTTCTTCTTACCTAAGCTAAGGCATACTCCACAGAACCCTTGTGTTGCTCTGGGTTAGGCGTGGGGCAGCTGACTGCAAGGTTAACTGTCAAAGCTACCAGTTGCTCCTTGGGTGAAAGACCAGACTGTCTTCTCCTATCAAGATTTACAATCTCAGAAACCCTATATAGCTCTTGATGAATTATTATCGACTCAGTAGCAGTGGGTTTGATTTTTTTCCCCTTGGTTTATTTCTTAGTTATTAAGCATTTATTGCCTCTTCTGTGCAAATCCTCTTTCTAAATTCTGTGCAGGCCAGAAATGTGAATCAGCCATGGGACCTGCCTGCAAGAAGCGTTGAGTCTAATAAATAATACGCAGTGCCATCGAGTAGATTCTAACTCATAGCAAACTTATAGGACAAAGCATATCTGCCCCATAGGGTTTCCAAGGCAGAAATCCTTACAGAAGTAGACCGCACATCTTTTTCTCATGGAGAGATTTGTAGCTTCAAACCACCTACCTTTCAAAGAAGACAGTAGGCATAATAAGATGTAACTGCCACGTAATGTATTATTCAGTGGGAGAAAAAATAATTCCTTTCAGATGGAAAATTTTGTTGGAGAGAAGGAATTGGAGATCAGCCTTGGAGATCATGAGTAGAATTTTTATACGCAGAGGAAGGGAACATGAAGGGCAAAAGCTAGGGATCACACAGGAAGAGTTTGTGGATTCCTGCAGAATCGATTTTATCTTGGTCAGAACAAAGGGCCTGTGTTAGGCAGCTGGGAGAGTGAACATCAGAAGTAGGTAAGGAACTCCGTAGTCCGTAGTCGGGGGCTTGAAATGTCAAGGGAAGGAGTTTTGGTTAATTTGGTAAGCGTTGGGAAGCCATCCAGCATCTCTCAATAGAGAAGGAAGTGTTGGCTTGAAATCATGACTTTTCTTGGTGTTAAAGATTTATGAACCCAGGGTTTATTTTCCACATTTTAAAAAACACTCTATACCACATTGCTAATTTACAGCCATCTTTATCTAGACCAGGGTATTTCCCCCTCAGCCCTGTGGCATTTAAGTCAGATAATTCCTTCCTGAGGGCTTCGCTGGCTATGGTAGGAGGCTTGGCAGCAGCCCTGGCCTCTAACCACTAGGTGCCAGTAGCACCCTCTTGCCCTCACTTGTGAGGACACAAAATAATCTCCAGACATTGCCAGCTTTCCCCTGAGGGGCAAATTCGTACCCTTTTGAGCACTGTTAGTCTAGACACATGGATTTCATTCCTTTGATGTTTTGGGCATTGTTGGCTGATAGCAAATCTAAGAATCTCTTAAGTATCCTTAGAGTTTTATCCCAGGCCTATACCTGATCTCAAGATTAAGGTATTTCCTGTGTTGGGGAAGGGAGCCTGCAGTATAAAAACTGAACTGGGTACCAGGAGATGTGTGGATCCCGTCCTGGCTTCCCCACACAGAGGCTGTGTGAGCTCAGTCATGGAACACCTCCTCTCTAAAATGACCCCTGGCACTTCTCAGCCTCTTTTCCATGTTTTAAGTTCTCGCTCCTGATTTCAGGACTTTAGCTTCTTGAATTTTTTGAAAGTTAGCACACGTTGGACTCGTGTGTGTATTAAATAACATGACTAACTAAAGAACCAAATAAGAAAGATAAATGGTTTTTTTTGGCTCAGTGCTTAAACTGAGTGACTTTTAACTCAACAGAAATGTATTCTCTCAGCATGCTTGGGGCTCTGAACCCAAATTCAAGGTGCCAGGGCGGAGCAGCGCTCTCTGCAAGGCTACTGGAGAGTGTTCTCTGCCTTCTTGGAGCTGCTGGTGTTTCTGACAGTCCTCCTCCTCCCTTGATTTGTAGGCAAGTCACTCAGCTCTGTTTCCATTGCCACATGGCACTCTTCTCGGTGCCTATGCCCCTACCTATACTCTTCTTGTTAAAAATAAATAAAACATCAGTCATATCAGATGAGGGCTTACTGTAATGACATCATCTTAACTTGATTGCATCTGCAAAGACAAGCCCCCACCCCCGCCCCGCCCCAATTTCAAGTTGGTTGCTTTCATAGGTACAGACAGTTAAGACTTTAGCATTCTGTCTTGGGAGAACAAAATTCATTCCATTATAGTGCCTTATTATATTGGGTTCAGTAATATAAATTTAACCTTTTTTTCCCTCTAGACTATTTGAAGAATCTGTTGGAAGACTCTGGAGATTATAGGGATACTCAAGGTAAACAATTTTTATCATCTTTTATGTTACAGATCTTTTATATTGTTGATTACAACCCAGAAAATTAAAGTAGATTGATAAAAAAAAAAAAATCAGTGCTAAACTCTATTTTGTCCAAATGAAGACGAACCTCTATTTCAGCTCTCTTTTGGTCAGATGAAAATGGAACTAGATAAATAATAAAATGGTACTGGAACTAGGAGAGGTTATATGAGGACAGCGGAGGCTTATCGCTGGTCTACCAGGAGAGCTCCCCTCCCAAGGAAGTGGACCTGGCATGGTCTAGCATTGGAGAAGCTCAGTTGGCTTCTCAGTCCCCGTGATACATTCAGTTTCTCTAGGTGCCCATTTCTTCATCTTTTAAAAGCAGGGATTGAGTCAGATGGTCTCCAAAGTTCTTTCAAGCTTTAAAATCACAAGTCCATGAATTAACTAAGCTATAGAAATGAAAGATAAAGCACGTTTTGGAACAACTTAGCTTTACTACCCTCCCCACTACTCCTGAAGTCCATTACACCAGTTGGCAACTAAACACCACCAAAAACGTTGTTGATGACTACTACTATAATGCCACGCTAGCCTCAAGAGGACACGGATTTGCTGCTGTTTTCTTGCAGTGAGGTGTACTGATATCCTACTGGATAGGGCATTCTTAGTGAGGAATTATACCTACTTTCCCAGGTTGGTTATCCACCCTGACCCCTCCCCACTAAATCCCAGTAGACTCTTCTGGTCATTGTGATGACCTTTAGTGGTCATCACACATGTCCAAATGCCCCCTAGGAGAATACTATTACCTTAGATTGTAATAACTGAAGGCTAATAGCAGATGAAACAATTAAAAAAAAATATTTACAAACAAAGATGAGAAGGCTGGAGCATTCACCCCCCCCCCCCTCTTTTTGGTAAAGAAACAAATATACTACTTTTCAGTCAGTTTTTATTCATGGCCATCCCATGTGTGCTGCACGGCTGAATTGAGCTCCCTAAGCTTGGCAACTGCGACCTTTCAGTAGCCCGTCTCCGGGTCCTTTTTTCTAAGGTCCTTCTTGAGCCAGGGCCTTTTGGTTAATTGCAGGGCACTTCTCACCATGCAAGGGTTGGAATAGCTTAATGTTGCAATCTGTTCCAGGGGTAATAACCAAATACCCCTACTGTTCCTGCATATTTCAGATGCCCTTGCTGTTGTTATAGAGGTAGCCAACCATGCCAATGACACCATGAAGCAAGGAGTAAGTATGTTAATTTTAGCAATTGGTATACAATTGAACCTGGATGCCTGGGTCTTTATACACTTGGCTTTCTTTTTTCCGTAGGACAACTTTCAGAAGCTTATGCAAATTCAGTACAGCTTAAATGGACATCACGAAATAGTGCAGCCTGGACGTGTAAGTGTTTTAGACAGGCTTTTACCGATTGAATGCCATGCACTTAGATGCCATTTGTAGATAATTTTCATTTCCATTATGAAAATAAATATTTATTGCAACTCTTCATTGGTGCACACCAGATCAGCTAAGTTCATTCTATCAGTTCAAAATGTCCATGATTTAAGTCACTGTGACAAGAAGCTCAAGTTAATTAAGAGAATAGCAGGGATCCCACAGAGACTCTGATGAAATGGTATCATTTTATTGTATAATAGCAGTGACCTCACGCAGCTTTAAAGATAAATTCATTTACGATGCTTCATTTCTAAATAAACATTTAAAAAGAGATGAAGGGAGGGAAAAATTGGTATTTTTGATGCTCCTCATAAAACACAGAAGTGGTGGAGGGAACGAGAGTGGGAAAATTGCAAATGCAATTGTCAGGATGTTGAAATGCCTAAGGATCAAGTGCATGCTTGATGAATTATATGACACCCACAAAAATGCCCTGGGAACAATATTGAATTCATGAAACTCTGCTGGTTTGTCCAATTCCTAAATGACTTACAGGGTTGTAAACAAAATTATGACTATACAAAATCACAAGGAAACCAAGTGTCCCTCTTAAACACAACAACAGTAAAAATCTAGAGGACCACACTCTTGACATGAATACACACACACACACACACACACACACACACAAAATGTACACAAGGAGGCTTCTAAAAGTTCATGAAAAATGGAATTAGAACGCAATTTTTCTGCAAACGTTTTGAAGTCCCTTGGTATTTAAATAAGGAGCACATGTGGCACTTTGAGTTAAATATTGGGATCCTAGCCAAAATGTTGCAGTTTGAACCCACAAGAGAAAGCTGAGGCAGTCTGTTTCCTAAAGTTGTATAGTCTTGAGAACTCTGTGAACAGTTTCACTCTGTCCTACAGGATTGGAATTGACTCCCTGGAATTGAATTTGACTTTATATATTTATATACCCACATTTCTCTGTGTGTGTGTGTATCTATGTATATACTGTCCAAAAAGGTTTCCAAGATTATAAATCTTTACAGAGAAGATTGCCACATCTTTCTCCCATGGTGCAGCTAATGGGTTTGAATCCCAGACCTAATGGTTAGAAGATGAGTGCTTTTTACCATTGTGCCACCAGGGCTCCTATATAGTGTGTGTGTGTGTGTGTGTGTGTGTACGTACACATACTTGTATATATACACAAGTGCATATGTATGCAGGTAGTGCTTACCTTTGATGATGGGATATATATGTAAATGTATATATACATTTATACACACATACTTGTATATATATACAAGTGCATATTATATACACAGACAGTACATATCTATTGTTACTGTGTTGTGATAGTAGAATAAATGGATATTTCTTTGGATGGATCAGGTCTTTCTGAAAGAAGGAATTCTGATGAAGGTATCCCGGAAAGTCATGCAGCCCCGAATGTTTTTTCTGGTAAGCTATGTGTGGTTCTGTTGTGTCTGAGGCAGGGACAATTGCTTACTGGAAGGAGACATTTGTACAAGACAGACATGCGTAGTATCTTCAAGTAATGGTTTTAGCAGGCTCGCTGGCTCTCTGTATTGCTTGTTTGCATTTCAAGTTTAGGGAAATAAAGTTTGCATTTCAAATTTAGGAAAATAAAGTCTGTTGGGATGCACAACCATAACCTTGTTTTCTCTTGGAAGCGAGTTTACTTCGTTTCTCATTTGAAAGAATTGTTTTTATTAGCAGATTGCAATGCCCTCAGTAAGAGTTAGAGTTCAGAAAGCATTTAATCTATGACAGGACTTGGAAAGGAAGCACATTTTCCAAAAATTATTTTTTAAATGATACTTTACTGAAACATTCTAGGTGGCTCTAATTTATGTAAGCAAACACAAGTATTCTACCCAGAATGCTGTTAGCAAAAAGATTGTTCCTTTGTCATTCCTGCATTGTCTTTACCTTTGAAATTTGTTTATTTTTCCTGTGGACTGCCTTTACTTTCAGTTTAATGATGCCCTGCTGTACACAACGCCAGTGCAGTCTGGGATGTTTAAACTAAACAACATGCTCTCCTTGGCTGGAATGAAGGTAAGTGTATTAGTTTGTTTTGTTGTTGTTTTTTAAACCAAAATAGAGAGAAAGCTTTAAGACAGTCATCTTTGGCACATTCTTAAATTTTTATTCTTCATGTTACCATCCATGCATTTATTTGTTTACTCCTAGCATTTATTTATTCATAGAATTACTACTGAGAATGAATATAAGCAAAACATGCTAATAGGTTTGGTGGAAAACACAAAAGATGATTTGAAGCGTGGCTTTTGGTTTGGGTTTTGTTTTGGTCCTCTCTTTCCCAGAGATTAGCAAATATTTGTGAAGACAGTATCCACCCTGTAAAATTTTATATGAAGTAAAGCAAAGAAACCAACTCACTACCATTCAGGTTGATTCTGACTCAGAGCGACCTTATAGGACTGGGTAGAAACCCAGTGGGTTTCTGGGATGGTAACTCTCTCCAGGAGTAGAAAGCCTTGTCTTTCTACCACAAAATGGCTAGTAGTTTTGAACTGCTGATCTTGAGATTAGCAGCCCAACCCATCATTACTAGGCAATAAAATAATCATTCTAAAGGCACAGTCTGGGGAGTTAAGAAAATGAACGATGTGCAACTTTTGGTGGAGCACAGTGGATGAATTGGTGACAGCTAGGAAAGAGGAAGGAGGGCATAGTGGATGGAAAGAGGAAGAGCCTGGAAGGACAGATCACATTTAGCCCTGCTGAGATGTGTGAGGGAACCAACCGCAGGAGCGAAGCCGTGGACTCAGTACCTGTGGTTGGGCCTCGGCAGTGAGGGGTGTGTGTGTTAAATTTACATGCAACTTAAGAGTCAATAACCAAGAGTAGTGGCAGATAAAACCGCTGGTTGTTGAGGCCAGCAGCCAGGAGTCATTGGGAGCCTTTAGCTACACATCAGAGCTGGGATTTTCTGGTAGGGAATGCATTTACTTAGCCTATTGTGTTTTCTTCCAGGTCAGAAAACCTACCCAAGAAGCATATCAGAATGAACTAAAGATTGAAAGTGTAGAACGTTCCTTCATTCTCTCAGCCAGGTACTTTTTATTTAAAGTAAAAAAGAGATTAATTTTTCTTAGTTTTACAGGGTCAGAGATCCCTAGCACTTTTATTTATTTATTTTTTTTTTATTTTTTAAACCCTAGCACTTTTTTTATTCATTAGATTTCGTTCTCTTTCTTCCCCAATCCCGTGCAATTCACCCTTGATTTATCATGCAAATGAACCGTTTAGTGTTTGAGGGGGTAAGGTACTAGGAGTTAGAGGACAAACATGTTCCTCTGAATAGAATGCAAATGCTGAAAACTAATTTGCTATCAGGGTGTATCTCAGAGGTGCTATGGAGCAGAGGATTACTCTCTTGAAGTTGTAAAATACGTTTTTCTGTTTTTCAGTAAATGAAACCCAGGATTGATGAACCTATTGGGACAGCAAGTAGAACAAGGGGGTCAGGGAAGGAGTACAGGGGAGTGGGGGGGATGGTAAAGGGAGATGATATCCAGGTATTCAGGAAGAAATAGGATGTTTAAGAACTGATGATGGAAGCAATGGTACAATTCTGCTTGATGAGATTAAATGTTGCAATGACATGACATTTGGGTTAATTCCCAAGTAAGAATAAATTGAAAGACCAAAACCCAAACAAAGAAAGATCCAGGAATGGTTTTTGGGCTCACACTAGATCCCAGCTCCAACTTAAGAACAATTAGTTCTTACATCATGGCTCTGCTCAATACTCGCTTCCAGGAAGGGAGCATGGAGGAGACGGTGTTATAGCAAAATGTGGTGAAGAAATTAGATGGTGTCTGACTATCAGATAAAATACCATCTGGGGTCTTAAAGGATTGTCTCTGAACAAGCAGCCATCTAAATGAGATGCTAACTAAGCCCACATAGAGGAAGCACACCATCATGAGTCACCTCACCGAAGGAGTATGAAGCATCTAATCTGAAGTGGAAAGGATGGATTCATAACTGAGAATAAAGAGTCTGGTTTGCAGAAGGCTATGGATGATAGTGGGACACCAAGATTCACTGGAGGAACTATACAGGAAATAAACTGCCAGTGAACACCTCTATCCACAATTGAGGCATAGGAGGAAAGTGGTCACTTAATGGAGTTGCATCGGTGAGTTGCGTATAGAAGGCCAAAGGCAGAAGCCTGACTTGAACAGTTAGAACTTGTCAGCAGATTCCCCGAAGGGTGCATGCTGGACATGAATTGGTTTCCAAAATCTTATATATTTGGGGTTGTATTGTTTTATTTGGTTTTTGATTGGACATATTAGGGGGTGTCTTAGGAGTTTTATGTCATGGGGTGGGGGTCACAGTCTTGAAGTTGTAGTATATGTTTTTCAGGGTATGAAAACCAGGCTGATGGACCTATAAGGTCAGCAAGTGGAATAAGGGTTTGGGGGGAGTGGGACATGGAGGTGGCAGCAGGGTAAAGAGGTGATGACATTAAAGGATCCATATAGAAAAAGGTTTGGAAACTGATTGTGGTAGCAAATGTACAATTCTTCTGGATGTGATTGAACTATGGAATGATTTTATGTATGCATTAATCCCAATTAATGAAAAAAGTAATTTGCTGATTATACTCAAGTTGGACATTTCAAATCTTTTTACAATGATACATAATGTTAAAAAAATCTAGTGTTTTATAGTTTATTAGGAAATTTTCACGTATCATATAAATGTCATAATAAACTCATAAGGTAGATGTCATCTCAAGATAAAGAACAAAGAAGTTATAGAAAAACTGAGTTGGTGACTTAAGGACACGTAAGTGGGAAAGCTAAGCTATAAGTGCTTTTAAGACCATTGCTATTTCTACAACACTGCATTGCTTCCAAATGGATCCTGCAGTGATTTTATAAATCAAAATCCATTACCAAAATATGAAATCAAGTTCTTAGGAAATGCGGGGCTGTATTACGCATATTGAAGTGAAACACACTTGCATTATTGACTTAGTGGCTGAGAACAGAAGTGGATGTTTGGCCAGTTTGACTGGTGAAGGAGAAGGAACAGCAGCCATCACTTGCTTCTCTGCAGGATCTAGATAAGAGAATCCAAGTGGCTCACTCAGGCTCGATCCTGGATATAATAAAAATAATAGCAAGCACGCCTATAAAACCTCCTTTGGGCCAGGCATACTTCTAGGACATTACGTGTATTACTTCTTTAAATTTTCACAACAACCCTTTGAGTAAAGTACTACTATTATATCTATTTTATAGTGAGAAACAAGATTTTGTTATGTTGGCCATGGGGTTGCCGTACACAAGGCAACTGACAACAACAACAACAATGGTGGGACAAACTACTTAGCTAGTAAGCAGTAGAGTGGGTGTTGGAATCTAGTCTGCCCGTCTTCCACTGTATCTACAATTGGCTAAGGTCTTAGTAACAGCAAGAGTAGTAGCTGGAACCATAATAACGTTTGCTAACTGTATGATCTTGACTTGCTACAAGAGAAAATGAAGATTCAGCTGATTTATTCGGTGCCATCAAGTAGGTCCTCATCTCATAGTGCCCCCCTGGACAACAGAACAAAACACACTGCCTGGTCTTGTGCAATCTTTACAGTTGTTACGTTTGAGCTCATCGTTGCAGTCCCTGTGTTAATCCATCTAATCACAGGTCTTCTTAATTTAACTGAATCCTTCTAATTCTTTTAATGTTTTGTTTTGTTTTTTTAAATCATTTTTGTCCTCCTAATTTACTAAGAATGGCATCCCTTTCCAGGAATTGGTCTCTCCTTATAACATGTCCAAAGCACATGAGACAGTCTCACCATTCTTGCTTCTCAGGTGCATTTTGCCTGTACTTTTCCCAAGACAGATTCGTTTGTTCTTCTGGCAGTCCATGGTACTTTCAGTGTTCTTTGCCAGCAGGATTCAAATTCTTTGGTCTTCCTTATCCAATTTCACATGTATATGAGGTGATTGAAAATAACATCAGACACACCTTAGTCCTCCAAGTAACATCTCTGCTTTTCAACACTTTAAGAGGTCTTGTGCAGCAGGTTTACCCAATGCTGTGTGCTGTTTGATCTCTTGACTGCTGCTTCCATAAGCACTGATTATGGATCAAACAAGTCAGAATTCTTGACTTTAATTTTTTCTGTTTATCATGATGTTACCTATGTCCCATTGTGGGGATTCATGCTTTCTTTACATTAAATTACAATCCATATTGAAGGCTGCAATCCTTGATCTTCATCAGCAAGTGCTTCCAGTTCTCCTTACTGTCAGCAAACAAGGTTAGGTCCTCTGTAGATTATTAATAAGTCTTCCTTCATGCCTGATGCTGCGTTCTTTTTCATATAGTTCAGCTTCTCAAATTATTTGCTCAATATGCAGATTGAATAACTGGTGAAAAGATATAACCCAGATGCACAGCTTTCCTTATTTCAAACTATGCAGGATTCCCTTCTTCTGTTCAAATAAGTGCATCTTGCTTTATGTACAGGAGCCACATGAACTTAGTGAAGTGTTCTGGAATTCCCATTTTTCTCAATGTCACTCATCCATCATAGTCTGTTATGATCCACACAATCGGATGCCTTAGCATAGTAAATAAAACAGAAGTAAACATCTTTCTCTACTGTTAGCCAAGATCTATCTGCTGTCAGCAATATATCTTGTTCCACATACTCTTCTGACTCAAGGTTTGAGTTTCTAGCAGCTCCCTGTCAGTGTACTTGAACTTGGTTCTTGAAAGAATTTTCCACCATAGAAAACTTGCTACCTTAAGACATCCGGAATATATTGACATCTGAATGATGCATCGAGTTGGAAAGGCAGACAAAGAGAAAAGGAGGAGACGCCTGGTCTGTAGAAGACATAAATGGACATAGTATACTGAAAAAGCTGAAAGGCCAGTGCTATATGAACATGGAGAACAAGACGTAATGTGACCTATGATAAGACTGCAGGGTAAGATGGGTAGATCATGTAGCCTGTGGATCTAGGTCTTTAGTCTGGGGTCCATGGAGAGTCAGTCACAGAAAGGTTTGTCCAAGGGAATGATTGTGATCAGGATAGCATTTTTGAAAAGATGATCTGGTCAAAGTATAAAAAGTGGGTTGGGAGGTGAATTAAGTCGGAAAGTAGGTTGTGAGGTGATTGATTAGACATAGGGGATGAGAAATACCGAGGAATTAAGAGTCTCCAGGTTGTGCAGTGTGAACATGCTCTTACCATTCACTGGGATAGAGAACAAGCCTCTGGGTAGAAGGCTGGACTTTGGTTTTAGATGTACACGTTGAACTCGAAGTGCCTGTGAAACAGGAAAACTATATCATTGAGGAGGCAGATTATATAAGGATTTGGGCCTCAGAAGGAAGCCTAGTCTAGAGAGGGCTTCCAAAAGTTCCTGGAAAAAATGGAATTAAAAGATAAGGGAATTTTTCCACGAACTTATTGAACTCTGTGAACTTATTGAACACCTCATATTTGGGAGTCATTGACTTCGAGGTAATAACAAAAATGAGGAGACTGCATGGGAGGGCACAGAGAAGCTTCAGGGTTCCCTGTCAAAAAAAATCACCTCATTATGAGGGCAACAAATGTATAGATGTGCTTTACACAATTGATCTATGTATTGTGATGAATTGTGTGAGCCCCTTATATAAATTGATTTAAAAAATAATAAATTAAAAAAAAAATCACCTCATGTAACTCTTCAGATCCTAATGACTCATCATATCTACCCCCACCCCCTGACTCATCTTCAGCAAGGCAGCTTACTACTTTTATGTTGTTTATCTTTCTTACATTTATGATCTCATATATTGATCGCTTGTTTCTGTGTCTCACCTAAATTAAATGGGAACGCTTACCAGTGAGGTGTATCTCGTATACCCTGGCCCTTATCAAATGCCCAGTCATTGTCACTGTAATGAACTGAAATGATGTGACCTCTGAGCCTCAGTGGAACATCTCTGTTAGAACAAGTGGTAAACGCTGTGGTGAGGTGTAACACACCGGGAATGCATGCAGTTGCAGGGATTTTCCCCTGGGGAATTCATTCCAGCCAGTGGGACAATGTTTGGTAATGTTCACATCCTGTTATGTAAAGGTTCCTAGGTTTCACTGTTTTTTGATCTGAGGAAGAAGCTGATTCCTCTGTGCAACAGTAGCGTAGCTATGATGTCTCCATTCCATGTCGTGGGCAGACAGTGTCGCTCGTTGAGAAAGATGCTGTCGAGAGCCGTCGACATGATTTGGGCAGACTCTCACAGGAGAGATCCAGGAATGATTAAATGAGAGACCAGCATATGTGACATGATCTGCACAGTTGCATCCCATCCCACAGGCTCCTCAGTTCCAGGAAAATCAGACAGCACTTCTCAAAGGAGCCATCTTCCTTTCTGCTCTGTCACCTTTTCCAGTAAAAAGAGGGGGAGAAACGGAGATGGTGATGGTTACTCGGGAGCCCAAGGATGTGTTCTCCTTGTGTAGTTCTTTAGAGAACCTAGACACAGGCCAAAGATGGCCTGGAGGCGAAGGGCTCAGTCCTGAACCACAGCCACACTTTGACACCCACTTGTCTGTTGGTAGCCTGCCATCTAAAACAGATTTAGATAACATTTTAAGTCCTCAATTTCCTCCTCTGTAAATGGTGATGGTGGGTGATGAGGTGGAGGGGTGTGTGTGTACATGATACGATGCAATATTCCATAGGGGAACTCTAAGAATAAGGTGTGATAACATTTACAAAGCATTTGCACAGTTGGCTAAGAGGTAGTAACTATTACTTGGTAGCTAGTTATGGCTGTCAGCAAGCAGCTGCACTGGAGTAGCTTGTGTACTGATACTAGAAGTTATGCCAGTGGTAAAATTTCAGGCACTGGGGTAGCTTGTACACTGATACTAGAAGTTATGCCAGTGGTAAAAAGTTATGCCAGTGGTAAAACCCAGCTAGCAGGGTCACCTGTGCAGCTGGGTTCTGATGGAGCTTCCAGATTCACACAGACTAGGTAAAAAATAAGGCCCAGCAACCCACCTCTAAAAAATTAGCCATAGAGTATTGTCCAATGTAGTGCTGGAAAATATACCACTTAATAGCTATATTTCTAATAATGATTTACTGTGTAAAAGGCAAATGGTTTTCTTAATATCTCCTTGACCTGTTCCAGATTCTTCAAAAGAAAGCAAAATATGACTGTGCTTATGAAGAGGCCTCAAAAAGTTAAACGGAATTTTCTCACAAACGGCTTAATGCCCCTTTATACTATTACTTATAATGGATTTTAAAATATTTTTATAGGTAAAGTTAAAACTATGTGTTCATTAATAAAAATATTACTTAAAAGTTCAAATATACTTAAAATTGGAGTGAACCACACACTCGAACTGTGTATCCAATCACCTAGACTCACCACGAATTAACCAAGATTTTTCCACAGGTTTTCCTGTCTTACCATCTAAAGTATTTTAAAACAAATTAAAGCTATCTGGTCATTGTATTCCAGCAGATTCTCGTGCGCCTCTCTCAAAAATGAGCACAAGTCTACTGTTAGGTTGGATTTTGCTTTATTATGATAATAAAGTTCTAAATTCATTATTAAACTCTCCATTTATTTATTCATTTATTTCTAATATCTCAAATGTGCCTCTTAGTTTTGAGCAAAACAAAAATTAAATAATGGCTTTATGGAAGTGCTGCTATAGCTGGTGATTCAGCATTACCATAGAGTTTTCTGAGGGGAGGTGTGGTTGTAGAGGAAAAAAAACAAAACAGGAATGGCTTGTTCTAAGAAAGCTTTCTCTTTCTGGGGCCCTTTCTAATCTAGATTTGATTCAAAGATGAGATGAACTAAAAAAAATAAGAGAGATGTGCTGAGGTTGTGGGCAGAGAGCTTAGTGGGCTTAATAGTTAGACTTGTTTTCTCAGCAGCGTAAGGCAATTTCCCTTATTACCCCCTCCTTCCACATATGTTTCCTGATAGCAGAATAATATCTTCTCCTTTCCTTGCTGCCCTTTGTAGAAACCCTTAGTAATGTTTAGTCATCTAAAAATATTTACTATTCTATTCTGGAGGTGAAATTCGATTCCTCCAAAAATGTTTGAATTCTGGAAAGATGTCGTAGACAATACCTTGGTTTTATGATAATCACAGTAATTCATTGTATGAATATCCACGAAAGTAACCAATAAAATACTTATCCATTTTACTGTGGTGACTTCAAAAGTCACTTATTAGGAAGCAGTACTTTTGGAAAGGGACAAAGCGTGTGTTTGCTAAAATGTCATGGGTTCTAATGCCCATTCTGATTATTGGGGCGTGCAAACCTGAGTCCCTGCCTAAGACAGGATTGTTGGAAGGTAGTGGACTCCGTTGCCCTGGGAGAAGGGAAAGAAGTAAGAAAAAGGCAAAGAGTAAATGCTGACATCTGGTTGATGGGACCTGCTTTTGCCCCCAACAGTTCTGCCACAGAAAGGGATGAATGGCTGGAAGCGATTTCCAGATCAATAGAAGAGTATGCCAAGAAAAGAATCACATTCTGTCCTAGTAGGAGTCTGGATGAGGTATTGTCTTTGCTGTCTTTTCCCCTTCCTTTCAGTGCAGTTCAAACAATATTTACTTTAAAAAAAAAATCATTTCGTAGGAGTTTAAA